AAAATGTGTATCTTTATTCGGTCAATATTAAAAAGCGACACATATATTACAACTGAAAATATTTAATACTAGTCCATTTAAGTCTGATGAATGTTTCATTGATGCTATCAAAAACCTGTCAGACAATACTTCTGAAGTATTAAATTTGTTATAAAATATTAAAAGTGACAATCAAATTGTGATTTTTTTTCGATATCACTTAAATATCAATAAACAAGCAAAAATGCGGAAAGTAGAGGTGAACTTGGAATTTTTGAATATTCTTGCCAGGCAAGCATTTGAAAAAGAAAATTGTATTTCACTAAACTGTTATATTTCTTTGAGCAAAATGTTAAAAGAATATGACCTAGGCTTTATATCAATTAAAATGAAACAGAGCCCAAACACATAACAAATGTAGATTTTGGTCAAAAAGCAAATAAGTTAATAATTGTAGATTAAAATTTGTAATTACAAATAACTGTAAACTTAGAACAATTTCAAATTAGAATCATATATAAATTATCTACCAAAAATTTATATAAGGTGACACAATATTTAGAATCAGTAATTACGAGCTAGTCATAGGCATCGATAGGTACGCAAGACCTAACACACCAATAGTAATCTTTGCTCTTTGCTAAGACGAGGTTTATGTTCTTTTAGAAGACACCAAATGTGATACTGAAAGAAATCAGCTGCTAAACAAAATCAAACTTCTCGAAAATACATACAACAATGAAAATCACATATTTAGTTTTCAGTACAGATAATTTTACAATAAATGAAATCAGTAATTTTATTAACCAGTCATGTAATTTATTATTATACAATTGAATACTTTTTACTTATTTATAATACATCTTGTTTAAAATTGTGTATATATATTTATTATTAATTATTGTAAACACACTTATAAAGTGATCATTATTATTAGGCCAATTCCGCGACATGAATGACGATTCATTTTGTGATGTGATGTGATGTGATGTGATGTGATGTGATGTGATGTGATGTGATGTGATGTGATGTGATGTGATGTGATGTGATGTGATGTGATGTGATGTGATGTGATGCGATGCGATGCGATGTGATGTGATGCGATGCGATGCGATGTGATGTGATGTGATGTAATACACACACTTTAAATGTTTCTATGAATCATAGAAGTTGGTGATGTTGATGGTACATGTAATTAACATTGTATTTTGTATTATTGCTTTGTAGGTATGTGGTATATCGTCAATCGTTGGAATAATCATCGTCATATGTTTGATATCAGCTATGAATCCATTGTTATTCTCACTATCTTGGAAACCCTACATCGTTGCATTTTTCTACCCTATCTTAGCATTCGTATTGGGGTACCTCATCCCATGGATGTGTCGTCAAAAGCCCCCTCAACGGCGTACAATCGCTTTCGAGACAGGAGTTCAGAACGGCGCCTTGGCATTGACGATCATCAACTTGATGTTCTCACGAGGTCAAGGGGCAAATGCACTCGAGATGATGATTGTGCCGTCGTTACACAGCATCTTCGTAGTAGTGGAAGGTTTAGCTCTAGTCGGTGTGTATCGTCTTTGGATAAGATACCGAGACAATCTGACCAAGAAATCAGACGTGGAGATGAAATCTCTAGACGAGAAAAAGGAAAAACCGACCGATGATTGGGGACGGCCTCAGGATACTAAATATGGTCTTGACAACCCGGCACTAACATATGAAAATGGCATTCCTCGTCAATTTACGAACGGATACGATGTGGATGTACAGCGAGAAAACCAGTGGAGGAGGAAGTGGGAAGATGATCAACGAATGAATGAGTCTCCGGTGCAGTCATACAACCCTGATCAATACAATGTATGGCGTTGGACCGTTTCAGCTCTCGATAACAGCCCACCTGGTGCCCCACTCTCCACACAGGCACCAATGCAACCGCATCATGACCCAACGGCAAGAAAATCAAGAAACTTAAACCCATCAAGTAATACACAAAACTCTTACAATCATTACAAATATCACCCTTCTGCTGTGAGAGATGTGCCCCCAGATACAAATGATAACAGACAGCCGCGTAACCAAGGATACCAACCACGGAACTACCGACAACGATTTTATTCAGCGCCTAATCTTAGAGAGGTGAATGGGCGTAAATACCAACCTGAAAGTGATCAATGGTCGAATAAATACGGTTACGAGAGTCGCGACCGTGAGGTACATCCACATAATCAAACATATAGAAGTAGAGAACATAACAGAGAAGGTGGTGGCTACAGACGATATCCCGACCAACCTGAACGAAATTCCAACGGACCTCGGGATTGGGATGAGAATTATTCCAATCCAAACAGAAACATTACATATCCACCCAGGGTACTGACAAAAGTACCAGATGACACACGTGTGCAGAGATATCCGGGACAATTCGACAACTATTACGAAGACATGGAAGAAGCAGTGCTCAATCACGAACAGTATCTAAAACAGCAGAGAAGAAGTCGTCGCATTCAGAATGTAGATCCTCAGCAGCTGAATCCACAAAATCTTGACGACTTGAATTATGTAAATGGATATTTAGGACAATCTGAACCGGTCTACTCCCCAGTAGAAAGCTCTGCACCAGGAACCCATTCGACCAAACATTCCATTCGTTCCAACAGACCAAATGACGCCACGGCGTATAACTCACAGGCAGTCAACCAAAGACCCATGAGTCCACGGCACGCAGATGAGCCACTTCGCCAAGAAGGTGAGACAACCTTGTATCCAAGACAACCACGCCATTCACTCAGCAACAATTCAGCTTATGACGATGGAAAAAGCGCGTTCAGGACATTACCTCCGTTACCGTCAAGCCTGTTTCATGCACACGAGAACGACAATTACGAACGCCATAATCGGTACGACGAGACAACTGGTCCGAAACAGTACACATTCAATATCCCAAACAATCTGAATAATGAATCGTCAATATGAGCCACCAGCTGACAAAACATAATTTTACTGTTATCTGTATATAAATATACGATAGTTGAAAATACTGAAGTGTCAGTTTTAAACACTATATGATTGATCCGTATTATTAGTGGCATTCCAATATTTAATTTGCGACCTGGCAGAGATGTTGTGACCAACACAACATGAACTTTAACTCGTTTTTGTTCACTTCAACTTTTATCCATAATCTCTAAAAGTTAAATTCAAATAAAATTGTTTGAAATACTCACAGTTCTTCAAGATTTCGAAAATAAAATTATGGATACACTTTGTAATTGCGAAGTGTGACTTATAATAACAGTATGAAGAAAACAAATGTGACGAAGTGTTATATATTGCCGCTGGTGGCGCTAGATTACCGCTGCACTCCAATCACATAGTTAATATTAACATCACTATAATCACCGCCGTGGCAATAATTGTGAAATGATTTATAATACAATATTTTTTTATAATAATTATTAATAATCGACTGCGACATAGATTCATATAAGTATTAAGCGTCATGTTTTTTAATAAATAAGAGCAGGGGGTGACATTTATTTGATATGTTAAAATACATGGTATATATTTATAACTATATTAGATATAGTTAATAGTCGCCTGCATATTCAGTCGTGACGAGGTACAATAGTTGGTTATTGCCATTCGCCCTTCCCCGGCATCTTTTTGAGTTACTCGACTAATTCCAGCGCAAAATAGCCGGATGCCAGTAACCGCTGATAGCAGAATAACCGGATGCCAGTAACCGCTGATAGCAGAATACCCGGATGTCAGTAACCGCTGATAGCAGAATACCCGGATGTCAGTAATCACTGGTAGCAGAATACTGAAATGCAAATATAACTTATAGTCGAGAATTATTTTGAGCTTTTTTTTATATGAGTAACATTTTATTGTAAAAGCTTTTCTTGTGTGTTTGTTTCAACTTTATTATTTATATCTAACTTGTATATATCACCTGGATTCAATAACACAATTTTTCACTTTTTTCAATAAATATATTAACATCAAAATAAGTGCCTTGTAATAAATAATGTTGACATTTACCAAGTCGATCGACCGGTCGGTTAACCGGTCGGTATGCCAGCCAGCCAGCCAGCCAGCCAGCCAGCCAGCCACTCACTCGGTCATATAGTCAATCAGTCAGTCAGCATTACAGTTAGCCAATATTAACCAAACACTGACGGACTGAGACAAACAAAGACATTACAAATCCATAATTTTTCAATAGAAAACGAGATGATCTATTTCTAAAATGAACATTGACTCCTGTAAAAATAAAAGAATTGAACTTACACCCTTTAGGAAATTCAAAAACAATTTAAAATTCGAAAAAATATCTTACAATAAAAAAACGCCGATCTTCAAGAAAGTCTTAGCAAGATATAACAACACCCCCCCCCCCCCGAGGAAGAAAGGATATAAAGTGGAAGATGAACACAATTATATAATATAGATTTATTACACACTACAACTCTATTGAAAATATAAATTAAAATTTACAATGATAAAAAATATATGTCATTAAGGCAGCAATATCTCGCAATTTGACATTCGTTTTATTTATCTTTTTTAAGATTGAAATTATTTAATTATACACTTAATATTGAAACGCTTTAGATGTTATTTTCTTAATTGGATATCTAGTTTGTTTAATGTTGTTGTATTTTAGTCCCTGAGATTCTTGGCGTGGTTTTAGGCATCGGAATTTGAATGTAATTCGTATTATATATTCTTTGTTTACTTTTTTTGTTATTTACGCAATTAAAATTCTTTGAGGGTTTGTTACGTGTTTCAAAAAACAATAAACCTAAAACAATTTTAATCATAATTCGACCTCCCACAATTCCATATCTGAGACAAGTGCTTTGTATTAGGAAATCATTGCGTGAAGCACAATCTAATGTCCATGAAAAAGTAACTTTTCCCTTACTTTTGCCTTTTATATTGTTATGCAAAATAAGTTATTCGTTGAAGTGAATAGTTGTATAGGCAGCATTGTGTTCTCACATACCATGACTGTGTCTTATAACCAACACGCGTGCTGACCCACTGTGAAATAATCTGTTTTTTAAAGGAGCGACACGGATAAAATAGTTTTAAAGGTAAGAACTACACACTGAGGCCTGACTAGTTGTGGTCTTTCAGTCGGCATGGTGAAATGTGCGGCCATTCTTCAAACTAAACGTACATACAAAGCTCCTTGAAACACATATTTCACCATGTTACATAGCAGGCTGATAATAACAAAGCGATAACGTCTGGTACATATGCATATATGACATTGACTTGAGACGTCCAGTGTATTTTTTAAAACTTGTATTGTCGTTTTTAAGGTGGTTCAATCTGTGTTGCATACTACCAGTACCGTCGCCGTACCTGTGGTTGACCTCAGAGTCGCTGCCCTATGCTGACTTATCGCACATTTGTTGTATTATTACCTGTATTATGTACACTGACGTAAACTGACTACTCGCTAGATTGTGGTGCTCGTGTTATATACAATGTGTTGTCAATATCTTAAGAATGTAACGAGTATATCGGACCAGCGTGGATTATATAGGGACAAGATGACAATACCCACAATAGAAAACGAGGACGAGTTTTATTAAAGCTTTTGTAACCTTCACCCACGCCCGGTCAAATAATTCTTGGTCACATCAAGGTCGGGTGTACAATTGGCTTTAATAACTTACAAGAAAACTGTGAATATTGACTGTATATAACATTTTAAATAACTTTGCTCCTATTTATTTATGCACCGGGTCATAGTGGCTGATCTTTTTCCACTGAAAAGTCGAGGTTTAAAATGTAGCACGAAAATGAACGGTTGGCGTTTTTCAGCAACTATGGAATGAGTTCTATTCGCCAGTCTAACAATATTGATGGTTTGAAGAGAAGCTCGAAAAACTCGAACTTTTATTATTATTTGTTATAATTAGGTGTAGGTGTATAGTCATAATTTAGGTTACGGGGCTGGGTGAAAACGAGTCTTTAGCTAATAGCCGTGTTTGCGATTTTACGTCTGCCCAGTCATCGTTGCTTCACTTAGAAAACAAATATGTATACTGAGGCCACACCTCGGAAACATCCCACATGGTAGTGCTGTGTCTTACACACATCACTACCATGTGGGAACTTTTTACAGTTTCGTATTAACAATGATCTTGTTTTATTACTTACTTTAATGATCTAATTGTTATGCATGCCAAGCTAGTGGGAACGTCCAGTGAACCATGAATTCAGCTGTACTGCTGACAAAAGACAGCCTCGGGCCATTTTAAGTGCAATTGTTTAGTATATAATCTGTGTTGCGTGCTAAAAGAACTTTGCAGTCTAGTCAATTAAGAGGTGGCATATCAATTCCAGTTATATAATTATGTTTTGACATGTTTTCCCCTCACGTATATTTCTTATTGTTTTACACCAGACCAGTTTTCACAATATCAACAATTTGTTATATTACAGGACATTTTGTTTGAAAATACTTCATTATAGCATGTTTTGGTATTTCTTCGCATATACTGCATTTCTTTTGTCTTCAACTCTGCATCACACATTTGGCGCAAATTTTGTTTCTCGGTTTTCGTCATTAGGTTTGTATAAATACAAGTAATATGACCTTTGACATACTGGCCCAATTCCCTAGTATTTTGTTTACTATTGAGGGTAAATCTTACTATTTTTTTCGATTTAATTACACTACAATTGCAATATTTCAGCGATGAATATGAACAGAGTGGATTACATCGTCTGCTACTACTAAAAATGGCACACTGCTTCTTAAAATCAGATAACTTTATTATTTATTGTCTATAAGTTGAAAGATTTAGTATTCAATATTGTTAGAATATTGGAATAACTATACAAACGCTGATCAAAAAATCTATATATTTGGAATCATGTGAGAACAAACGATCAACACAAATTTGAATAATTCCCTGGATATTAACTAACCTAATAAATAGGCCTAACCCTTGGAGATAGCGCTCATTGAAAATGAGGATACGTTTCGTGGTCTGGTATACCGTAGCCCCCTCTATGTATTTGTATATTATTATAATCCGTAAGGTTTGTTTTACAGGCGTCCGGCTACCATGGAAACCGATGATACGGAATCTTTGAGTAGCGCCGGGTTGGAGGAAAACGACTTGGACGCCGGACAAAGTCCTCGACGTGAGTTAGTGCTTGCCAATCAAGTGGTGATCACAACGGCATTGATATTACTAATGACAGGGATGGGATGTACTATGACGATCAAAGACGTCTTGGGAAACCTACGAAAGCCAGTCTGTATCTTCATTGGTGCTGGATGCCAGTTCATTCTCATGCCATTCCTCGGATGGTGTATGGCTCATTTATTTGACCTTTCACCTGAAATGGCTCTTGGCACTCTTTCAATTGCTACTTGTCCCGGTGGTGCATTTTCCAATATCCTCGCCTACTGGACACATGGGGATACTTGTCTCAGGTAAAAGAATGAAAGAAAATAGCAGTCTTTGAATATACTTACAGTCAAACGTGTGTATGGAAAACTCTATCCATGATATTGAAAAAAGTTTCCATTATATTTATCAGTTTGTGAATGAAAGTATGACAATAATTCCTCAGTTTACTTGGCGACAGAAATCTGTAAGAATGGGAATAAATAACAAATATGCTTGTTTTCTTTGTACAAAAGGGTCATTTTTGACCAGTCTCAAAATAATAATCACTGTTCACAGTCCCTCTATTTTAGAGGGACTGTGCACTGTTGTTGCATGTATGGACCACTGTGTATGGACCACTGTGTATGGACATATTATCCAGGCCACCCTACACTTTAGATCAAAGGTGGTCGGCCACTAAGACAACTTACACTGTACCTGGTGTTAGTTCTAATAACTATCCCATATGAACTGAACAACAATTACCAGAAAACTGTACTGCGTAGTTTTATGACAAGGGAATGATTTACTTCATCTTTCTTCTTCCTACAGTGTGTGTATGACCACGTGTTCTACTGTACTTGGTATCGGCATGATGCCGTTGAATTTATTCATTTACAGTCGTAGTTGGGCTGAAGCGGCAGCAATCATACCATATGTAGACATCGCAATAGCTTTGGTTATCATACTCTGTCCCTGTGCATTTGGTATGGTAATAAATTGGAAATTTCCTAATGTAGCAAACTGGATAGCAAAGGTATGTATAATAGTGGCGTGTTTACTTATAAGTGTTATGAATGAAACACGAATCGCCATTTTTGGCTTTTTCTGAATATATTATTATTTAAAGGGCGGCAGTCATCGTGTCGCGTCCTGTTCGATATGGGACTCATAGCGACGTATACAACGCGTGTAAAATAAATTGTTTATTTACATGAAAATCGAACACGCGCTGAGCGACGACCACCGCGCTTTAAATGATATGTAAATGTCTTATCTGCAGCGGCAATGATGAAATATCCCAAGTGTAGTTTTTGATAGTGTACTGAGAAGGCCAGCAACTGAATTTCAAATTGTTTTAACACCAACCATTATGTATAAGAAGTGAGATTCTTATTTAAGAATGTACGAGTGTGATCATCTAAGCACCTAATACATGGCATTTCGCACGTATTCTCAATCATTTTGGAAATTTGCCAGTCTTCGCAAATGTCAATTGTCTGGATATTTTACTATTTTGGTATTTAGGTAATGGTTTGCTACTAAACTACAGTATGTCAATTACACTTATATTAGCATAATACGGACTACTGAACCAATCAAATAAGAGTATGACTACTACGTTGTCCATGAACTAGTCCTCCTGCCTTCTAAAAGATTGGAGTAATATAGCTTTAGATTGTTTTTGTAATTGTTATACTTATACAAGCATGGATAAATTTACTATATTGTACCATAACTACCACCCGAGGTGTTCAAATTAAATATGTGATCCTCCAACAGCCACATATCGAATTAAACAGAGTATGTTTTCCGTTTTAAAAAATATATTTACGTAATTTTCGGGAGCGAACATCTGGGTATTTTCTCTGCCTGGCAACCACGAGATATGAAAACTACGGCCGAAAACACCCAGAAAACTGTTCTTTGGGCTAACTATTGGGACGCCCCTGAACAGTGTGACAAACATGTGCAAACTATATAAATGTGGTTGTTCGGGATTGTCTCAAAGCTGTTTTCTCGACTTTAGCTGTTTCTACCGGGCCATCGACCGGTATTCCACATCAGCTCGCACAGAGCTCACGTAAATACTAGATACACTTGTACGCCTCTTAGCAACATAGAACGTTCTGTGATGTAGGTCCACCCGAGAATACAGATGGATTTTCAAAAAAAAAATGTATGCCTTCCCGATTCAAACTGAATTCTTCCTCTCTCAAAATGATTCAATACAGAAATGCTAAGTTTAAAATATTACAGAAAGCAAAAATAAAATAAAATAAAATAACGTATTTATCATGTTTTGCTAGATCATAAAAACAGCAGTAAAGCGTTTGCTCCTAAATTGAATATTTATTGAAATAAGTGGCATTCGTCACACATGACATGCGCAATATAATGAACTCCAGCTATGCATGAATCACTGAGTTCAAGATATATCTTAAGAACAGTTTTATCGTTGGGGCGAATGCCTTTAAATGTTATGTTTTTACCACATTAAATGGGTCCTCAAATATTCATTGTTTTACTTTGCAGATTTCCAGTGTATTATCGCTGCTGGGAATTATATGTGTAATTGGACTGATTGCCGCCATCAATCCCTCCGTATACCTTGAAAGTTGGCGTCCATATATGGTCGCAATTTCCTACCCGCTAGTTGCCTTCGGCTTGGGATACATAATACCGTACTGTTTAAGGCAACCTACCACAAAGTGTCGTACAATCGCCTTCGAAACGGGTGTGCAAAACACTGCACTAGCCATGACAATTATTAATCTTCTCTTTACAAAGGGTTTTAATGTTTTAGACATAATGGTTATACCTGCCCTTCACGGTACAACTACTGTCATAGAATTTGTGACATTGAGCTTGGTATACAGGTGGTATGTTCTGCGTAAAAATAAAGCTAAACTAGCCAAGGGAAAGGCGGCAGTCGAGAAGAAGATACAAGACTGGGTCTGGTCACCAGACTCAGTCCCAGATGACTTCTCCAAATTTGTGTATGATAATCCCGCTCTCAGGGAAAATAGCGACTCGCGAACAAGTAGCCTCGACAGGGACGATTTTTTGGATGACACGTCATGGCCAGCCAATTATTGGGACGGTCAATCAGCCTGGGGTTCGTCACTCACATCTGCCAATGAACAAGAACCGTGGAAGAGCGCCATCTGTTACGCCAACTCCGTCAGAAAGAGCAAATCATCATACCAGCAAGATCAAGGAATACAGACAGGGAGAAAGGCAAATAGGACATTAGAAGAAGAATCAGTAGTTACTAATGGTAACCTAGGTTTATCTGGGTGGCGAGGAGTGATTAGTGGGATACCGGAAGAAGACGAGGAGAGTTCCTGGGATAGCGATTCAGACGACAGTTGCCCCGTGCAACGATTTCACTTCACAATTGCCGCTGTTCCCCCAACAGAAACCGAACTTTAACGACGCTGTCATATTGCCCAGTAATTTGAAATACAAAGTATCCATCTATTTTTAGTAGTAGAAATTACAATTTTGATTCTATATTTAAAATATATGTCAACCACGGGTTACAAGTATAATTTAAAGTACAGAATTTTCGAGTGACATTAATGTTTTATCGTGGTTGTATGTCTATATATATACTAGTATATATCGCGTGAGGAATTATCATTCATTAGCCTAGCTCAGTATTTTTGTCTGCAGACTTCGTTCGTGTTCAAGATGCCGGGAAATTAGTCTCCAGTTCACAAGTAACAAGTCAGGGCGGTTCTACAAAGCAGGATTTTCCCAGTTTTCTCAGGTTATTATTGCATTAAAATTTAGTGATATCCTACAGTTCATACCAGGGGGGTGTTGCATGACACGATTGGTTGAAATAATAGTCTCATTTGCATAAATTAATATTCATGAGCAATAAAAAATTCATATTTTCAGTAAAATTGTGCCAAAATGCTTTCCGATAGCATACATGTTAGTTCTAAGTTGACTGATACGATCGTTAGGAGCTGAACAAATAATCGGAAAAATGATGTAAAAGTATTTTTTGAGACACGTTTTCGATCAGACTCCAGCTAACTGTTGAAAGTAAGCACAGGTTTTCTCATTACCATGATCATAGCAAGTTACGAAATTCATGGAGAATGCAGAGGCACGTTTATATTTCACTCTAGTACTATTGCTCAAAATTGCTCAAAATGTTTTCGGTGACTTTTATTAGTGACAAGTTACCTAATTAGTATGCATTTCGAGAAACCACAGTGTGTGTGCATGCGCAGTTTGAAATGGAACAGATTTGAACGCAATAAAATCACGCGTAGAACTCGGGCTCCAGCAAGAAATTGTGGCGTCAAACTGGTTGTCGGTTGATAGTTTTGCAGTAGACATAATTTTGGGGCCTGTATTTGTCTATGAAATGTTTCTAAGTTTTGTTGTGGATTATTCTGTAAAGAAATTGCTGAAATTATTTCATCTGTTCGTAAACGGGACGTTGTTGCTTTGACGATGGGCTACGGGCGACTGACGTCGAAACGTTCCATTCAGAACGGATGGCGCCCTCTCGTGCCAATCCCCCCTGGTTCATACCTATATTTGTTTGTTCCACAACTAAACTGAACATATTACATTCATAAGTACAAAATCATGTTTAGGAACATAATACATAGTTTTATTTGAGCTAATGTCAAATTATGTCCCACCATTATAATAACATGAAATTGTTCTCAAAGTATTACATTTTCATTTTGTTGTATATTATTTGTAATAACTTTTCCATAGGCCACCTCCTGAACTAGCAAATTGGTTGGTGCACCGTCAGGGCATTTTTTCAAAAGAAAAGTACACTATATATTAAACCATGTTGACTTGAGAACTGATCTTGTGTTATATGAATGTAAAATCAGAATGGAGTATTAAATTTATTTTTCGCTTTAATTGTCATGTTTTAAATCGAATATCAAGAGGCGAGTTTGCAATTTACATAAATTATATATATATCCAAAATGTCATGCATTTTAATAGTGTGGATATGAATGTGCAATATTGTTGGCAAATTTTATTACATTCTTCCTCTGCAATATGAAAATAAGTTTCAAGATTGACTCGTATGTATGTATAACTCCCAATACGACACAATACGTAATATGAGACTAAATGAGACAGACATATAATATCATTAGTATGTACCTTGGTATATTTTGACGTAATTTCCTATCACGCCTGGGGTATTTCTTTTTCAATTTTCCAATTCAATTTCATCATCAACATATGTTAAAGAATCAACCCTGTTGATTCAATCCGGCGTAATATCTAACTGTAAATCAAAATCCTAGATGTTTAAAAATTTTGAAATTGGTTTTGTCAACATTAAGGTTTAATTTCCCCCAGGAAATGTTCTTGTGGAAGGTCTACATGGTACGAATCGACAAATTGAAACATGTATGTTTCACCTGCAAACAACATAAAATTAAATAAATCTAACAAATTACAGATATAATATATGCAGAAAAAGAAAAGAACTTAAAATACAACCTTGACGGACTTCAGGGTATACTGGTATTCGATTTTTTTCAGACACTGTTTCGTTTACCCTAACAAACTGTTTTTTTTTTTAAATTAACAATGTTACTTTAAAACTATTTGAAAGCTACTCCCCGAAATTCAATTTATTTATGAGGATCTAGTGGTCAATTTTGTCCATGCTTTCCTAAAATCAATAATTATACCCAGTCCAGATAACCCTTTATCGAGATGGTTATTGATCGGTGTTGTTAAGTCAAGTATAGATAATTTTGTCTAACGTTTGTTCCTGAAGCGCAATTAGAAATCATTCAATATTTTAAACTTCTCAAGGTAAGATATTTGTTTGTTTATATTTTGTTAATTATGGGTGATCTAAGCCTATAATTGCCAACCTTGTCAAAGGATAATTTTTATAGAGCGGAATAAGTTTAACAATTTAAAGTGATTGTGGGAAGATACCAGTAATCTACTATAAGTTAAGTATGCATAATGTCAAATCCACATGAATTTCTTGGATCAAGTAGTTAAATCTAATGAAAATGAATTTGTTACTTCTATCAGAGGGAAAATCTTCTACTCTCGGGTCCTCCACACTTGTCGGGGGGGATCTCGTCTCGTCTCTATATCGCGTCCCCTTGAGGTGCGGGATCGGGGAAGTCACTTACGCCTTACAGTCAAATAAGACACACACAACGAAATACGTTTCAGCTCTCGTCTTAGTCGGTCAATCGAGCACTCTATAAGACACAGCGCCCTGGGGGAAAAATCCCCAAGACTATCGCAAGGCTGACCCAAGACTCTCTTAGACTGCGTCAACACTCGCCCCAAGGCTCTCCAGGACTGCACTCTCTCTACTGCGTCTATCGTGCTGTGCTCCCCAAGACCAACTCAAAAACTCTTTATTCATTTTCAAAACATTAACCAATTACAAAACAGTAAAAAGACTCTAGGGCGTAACCTTTAATCATAAAGCCAATCACACTAAGTACTGAATACGTCATATCTTTTGATTAATCGTTCACTACATTAATAACTATGAATATAAACTGTCAGAATGAGTAGTCTGAATAGCGGCGGTTATCTGGTAATTAGTTCCAAATCACTGAGCCAAGTTCCGTCCAAAACTTCAAATAGTCCTAAACGATGACAGACATAACACAGCAATTCAGCTAATAATCAGCTAATTAAGCCGGTCAACAGATACGCAAAAACAAATTCATGACACTTCACTTGACTTGACAGATAAAAACTAGTTTTGGGCTAACAATCGCGAAAAATTGAAAGGTTGAATTCATAAACTATATCTTAGTATTGAGTAACATTATTGACGCTGTCTTCTGGTTCACTTTCTAATAGTTTTGTTGTATTTAATTTATGATACTTTCTATTCATAATTTCCTTTTTCGTTTTGTAGATTTTATTATTATTTCCCTACCATCTGAATATAACAACAATATCGCCCATTTCAGAAGTTACCACAATTTGTATTTTCATATTATGAAAACAGAATTTTCATTGGGTTGAATTCGGTAATCTGTTTTTTGTTTCACGTGACTACCCGATGTAAATTAGTTAAATATGTAACTCGAATTTACTAACTTGGAATTTGGAAGTGTCTCTTGAAAACAAAACAAAATGGCTTTTTAAATACAACTGCAACAAACAAAGTTAAAATGTTCAATTCACATGTACATATTTGTTGGCACTGTACAACATCACATATGACAAAGTTGTCACACCATCATGAATAATTGCAAGGTTTTGCGAGTAGTGCTTCTTGGTCTTTTGACTTTTTCGCTTTGGAAGAATATTACAAAACAGAAAATATAGTTCAGGTTTAAAATGAATGTATTATTGACCGATTATATTCAGTCTTATTATTATTGTTAGTAAAACAAAACATCATTATGATAATGATTATATTTCAAAGACACTAGTCCCTTTATATTCAGGCAGTGAAATTAATTAATGAAGTAATAGTGCTTGCGATTCTAAATTTTAGTAATAAGTTAGTTAACTGTATATATAATTGTATATATATGCTTATTTGGTACCAATCATTATCAAGACTGGGTGTCGGTCCAAGAAATAGCAACATGGAGATTCAAATTTCGCACAAATTATTTGTACACCTTTTGAGTCTACATCACATCTGTGATACAGTTGTCAGTTAATATATTCCAACATATTAAATAATAATAATTTCACATGCCAGTCTGTATCCCTACATCAACCATACTGACAAATGAATCTTTTTGTTCTTCGTCATCTTTCTTATCTTTATTTTTCTCTGTAGTTTTCATCCGGTTACTTAATAGTCCACCCTTTTCCTTCAAGATGCACCTCTTGTAAATCCAATATGCGATAACAAGCATGTATCCATCTACGAGGGCGAAAATGGTGTGGAACATTGGAACGATCAGCATACCTGCCACGTTGTGTCCTTGAAGTATTTGGTAATTTATCAAACTCAGGGCAAGTGCCCCATTTTGAACTCCAGTCTCAAAAGCAACAGTTCTGGCTTGCCTGGGCTCAAGTTTGAAAAATCTTGATACGAGATACCCAACCCCAAATGCAGTGAAAGGATAAATGATTCCAATGGCATATGGCTTGACACCCGATTTGAATACAGGGGGGAATGTAATTATATTAAGTATGAGGAGCATACAGATTTGAAGGTTGACGATGATGTTCAACACCTAGAAAAAATCATGAAAGTGAATTTCAAATTAAGTAATGTAATTTGTCTGGTGGTTATCCAAATAGATTAGAGCACAGTAATTATGTATTTCGTAACATTAATTTGTTATCTCGTTGATTCAATTATTTTTGATTACACAATCACGCGAGATAAACATATTTTGTTTGATTCTTTTGAATTATGGTGAACTTACAAAGGCTAGTTTCTCAGCAAATCGTGCCCACTTCCATCTTATTAACATGCCAATGGCGGTTGGTATGAGAAGAACAACCAATGTAACCACTATTTCTGTAGTTCCTGGTATGAGTACTTCCGATTCAGCAACCCAGTAACGAGTATAGAGAAACAATATCCACGGCATCATACCAATAGCTAACACGTTAGACACAGTTGTCATACAGACACTTCAATGAAAAGAAAACAGTAGAATTTTGTTATATAGAATTTGACACATTTGTATGTTCTGCAATATAATTTCAGTATGTTTCCCCTATTATATTATTATATTTAAAAATAACATATTTCGTTATAGATAACCAAACACTTCGAGGCGATGCTTAATAGAGCCCAGTGCATAATTGTAGGAATTACAGAGCTTTGCTTCAACTCAAATCTCAGGGAGCTGTTTTCCTTCTCGAGAGCCGCTTTATATCACATGTAACATGATGAATGGCATTCGAAATCTCTAAAAGCGAGTAAGCATAGAGATTTATATTTGCCCCTAAAAATGTTCAATCATGTTCCGGTATCGCGTTCACCGTTCCCCTGTCCTATATAACCATGTCATTCGTCCGATGGATGGGAAAAAATTAATCTCAATTGGATATATCAAATGTACCAAGAATGGTCATACATCATGAATCCCTGATTTGTGGTGAATGGTGAGGTATCATGTTTACGAGATAAGTTGCTGATTAAACTTCAGGAAACAATTATGTCAATAAATTATAT